GGAATCAGAACACCTTTGTTTTACAAGAAATCACTGCAGTTACATAGTCTAAGCGCTCCATGTAACCAGAGTGGAAACTGAGGCCCAGAGAGACTCTGTGGCCTGCCTGCCTCGTGACAGACCTTGGACCACAGCACAGGTCTCCTGATGATCTGTTCTGAGCTGCTCGTTGGCTCCTGCTGTCCTGCGCCCAGCCTGGCTGCTCAGAGCGTCCCGGTTTCCCACCTGGTGCTCTCCCTGGCCTCGGCAGTGGTCTGGCTCCCAGACCAAAGCAGTAAGGTAACAAAGAGCTGACACTGGAACGCACCTCCACACAGACCCCCACACCGAAAGCCTGTCACTACAAACTTGCATGATTCTATTTTTCCCTTCCCCACAGAGCTGAAGACAACCAGGCAGCTGAGGGGAAGGCAGGTCCGGCATTATGCCAGGCACTAGGAACATTTCAGTTGGTATTGCCTGCCCACCCTTATTGCCTACTCCTCCCCAGAGCACTCCCTTCTCCAAGGTTCTAGAGAGGTGATAATCATAGCATCCAACCCACCTTTGGCCACATGTTGGGGTGGACATATGACTTGGCCACAGGAAGAACCTTATCCCCGCTAAGGCCATAATGAGGGCTCAGGATCCAAGCAGAACCAACCGGAGTCCTTCCTGGGTTTTATGGATAAGAGCTGGAGAAGGAAGTTCTATCCCCTGTGTTTCCCAGTTACATGAGCCCAGACAGTCCCATTTTGCTCAGGTTAGTTTAGATTAGGTTACTGTTACTTGCAACCCAAAGAATTCACACTCCTGCAGGCACATGTATACATTTCCTCATTTCATCTGTATAACAATCTTTTAAGGCTGCTCTTACTCTGCTTTAGAAGGGAGGAAACTGAGGTTAAGTAATTTGCCCAAGTCCATTCGGTAAGTACAGGGCATTCAAATTCATACAGTAAAAGGCATCCTTCTGCTCTAAGCCCATTCAGTATCCAGCTATGAATTCCATATTCACTCAAGAAGGAACTCACTGCCATTCAAAAGCCAAAGATTCTCTGGTTTAAAAGGTACAAGGATGAGGTTTGGGAAATAAACAACATTAAACTAGGGTCATAGGACCTGGCTTCTACCTCTGGCTCAGTCCTATGACTCAGCTATTAAGACTCTGAGCAAGTCTTTCCACTTATCTGGGTGTTTGTTTTCCCACCTACAAAATGAGAAGCCTGAACAACATGAACTCGAGATCCTTTTAAGTACTTAACAAAAAAAGTCCATGGTTCTGCTTTAAGCATACAGATTCTGTCTTTACTCTACGTCAGGCAGGATGTGAAGCAGATTTCAACTTGACCGCCAGGCCCAATAAATGGCTGCCTAGGCCACAATGCTGCAAAGGATTCTGAGCCATAAGATCTACTAGGAAACTGGCACTGGCTTCCAGGGTCACAGGGAGGAAGAGAGAGGAACAGCTGCATTTGTCATTGCTGATAGAGTGTCACCTTCACAGAGGAATGCTGAGGACTGCACTACCGATGCGCACCTGCACAGGATTTTCACAGATTCCTTTGTGTACTTCCTTGGTTCCTCTTTGCAAGCAAGGAAGGAAAGTACGGGAAAGCTAACTGGTTTGGGGAATATAGCTGCGAGCCACTGATGAATATGTCTGAATGGCCTACATGGGGTGAAGGTAGGGGGCAAAGGGGAACAGTAACAATGAGTGTGGTTCTCTATGATACAGAGTCTCAGAAGATGCTGATAATTAGCTTAGGAGTTCAGTAAAGTATGATCACGCCCATGCGACAGAAGTGGAAAATGAGCCTCAAGTAAGAGGACTTGCCCAAGTCACCCACTTCTAAGTAGCAGAGCCCAGATCTGAATCCACATCTTCTATATCCAAGTCGCCGTGCTTTGTCCACTCCCAAGGTCCCCATTTACCTCACAACCTAAATGAGTTAATTAATCCAGTTCCCACTGCAAAGTGGCATACTCGTCATTGTTTGGAGTTTTTCAGATACAGTAAGTTCCTCACCCCAAGATAGGAAATGTTGTTACTGTGTGTAATTTAATGGGTACACACCCATGGAGTATACATGAATTCAGCAAAATTGAGCATAAGAGTTAAATATTTAAAGGAATGATGCTGAAGAAACCAGCCTATGGGGAAAAATTTAAATAATCAACACAGTTTTATTAATCTTAATAAAACCTCTACAACAATATAGTGAGATGGAAAACGGACATCAGGAATAGGCTTTGTCCAAACTGAGGAATGAGAAGAACTAGAATTGAATCAGGTAATGTGCATCTTAGAAATGACAGTGAGTGCCTCGAGGAAGACATTCAACCAAAGGCATTACTATAACCTGCTACATTTCCTTAGGTCTGACGACCAGAGCTAACCCCAAACCAGACTATGTGCCCCTAGTACTGGGCAGACTTTTATGTATAAGGAATCCAGGCCAAACAAAGTAACAGCCAGCCTTCCGACACATTTGACTGTGGCAAGAGCACAGGACACCCCTCACCGGCTCTATACTAGCTTCTGAGGGGGAGAGGGTGTGGTGGGAATGGCTGCAAGAACAGGAGGTAATACACAAAGCAACTACCACATAAAAATCAAGATTTGTCAAAAGAATGCATGTTTTCCCTATGTCAGGAGGGGCAGTAGTCCTGAACAACGCAGCCTATGTCCCTAACTTCACAGACTCTCCAAGCCTTAGCACCTACCCACATCATCAAATACCACAAGTGACTTTTCAATGGCATGCTATCTAACCCTCTGACTAAGGCGCAAAGTTCTTCTCAAACATCTCTGACAAGCAGTCATCCCTCTGATTAAGTGCCTCCAGTGACAGGAAATTCAGCACCCCAGGGTCCTGTTACTGCCTCTGAGGCTCATTAATTCAAAAGCCTAAAGCATATTCTTATCACTCAGGGAAAGGCCTAAGGCCTAAACCTCCATAAGTCTTGCCATCCCAGCTATGCTTCTTGTCTCTACCACTTGCATATCCCCTACTCCGGAATAGGATCCAAAATTAGTACAGTGCTCATAAATCAGTGATTTCAGAGTTAGAAAGGGACCTCCCAAAACCAAAAAACTGTGACCTTCACATATCAAATTCCACAGGAGGAACCTCAGGAAGAGCTTGGGCAGACCTGGGGGGAGGTGAAGGGAGAATGTCCTAGTTTCCTTTCCTCTCATTTTAACCTGGGAAGCTCCTCCTTTGATCTGCTATAAACAGGGGATCAATGCAGTTTAAAAGTCTTCTGCTGTTTGAAGGGGAAAAAGGGAACATTTACAGGTAAATAAACTAAGGCCATAAAACTTGCTTGATAACCTCATACAGCTAATAGTTGCAGGGTTAAGACAACAACCTGGTCTCTTGGCTCCTTCTCTAGTGCTCTCTCTACCACGTAACATTCGTCCACCAGCAGAGCAAAGTTCCCACATTCCAGCCACACTCATATGCTTATCAAAACAATTCAATAACACTGCAAAGTGGCATATTCATCATTATTTGGGAGTAGTTCAGACAATATAATGTTCCTCCAAAAAAAACCATGAAATATTACTAATTTGTTTGCAATTTAATGGGTAGACATGCATTGAGTACATATAAATTGAGCATAAGCTACCTATCTCCACACCTTTGTGCATACTTTTCTCTTAGCCTGAGAGGCCTTTCTCCACCCTCTCTGAAGATTTGTTCCAGGCATCACTGCCTCTAAAAGGCCTTTCCCGGCCCTCAAGTAGAACGGGCCACATTCACCTTTGTACCCTACACACTAGGAGGCTGGATGGCACTTGTGTTGTTACTGTCTCCCCCACCATTCCTTTTAAATTGTGTTATTCCAACAAGGTGCTGGACAGAAGGGAGGTGCTTAATAGATATTTATTGATGGACTGAGTGTCTTCACCTGGTCCAATCCCCTTCTGGTCCTCGCATACCCTCTGCAAACCCCTCTGCAAACTGCCACATGTTAATTCATGCATACAGATACTCACTGAAAACTATATGAATGCCCACAAAGTACCAGGCATTGGACTGCATGCCAAAGAGAAGGAGATTTACCATGAAATTAATGAAGTTTAAGTTTCAGGGCCCCTCACTTGCCCCTTCCAAAGCTCTGAACCTCTTCCTGTGATTCTGTATCTTCATTTCTTAAAGAGGAGAGACAGAACTGTATAAGCTTACTTCAAGCTCCACAAATACTAGATCCACCCTTGGGGCCAAGGATACAAAAGTGAACAAGGTAAACATTCTCTCCCCACTTAGAGAGTCTCCTGTTCAGTGGAGAAAACAGCCAGCCATCTGTTCATTCGTCCATTCAAAAAACATTCACTGGCCAGTGCTATGAGTCGGGCTTTGGGGTTCTGAGGTGACACCAGCACTGTTCCTGTCCTCAAAGAGAAGCTCCCTGCTCTCCTGAACGAAAGCCTACTGTGTTCAGGGAACCGAAAGCTGTTTAGAAGACAGTAACACAGTGTTTGTGAAAGATTACCCTAAACCCGTCTCAAGACCTACTGATCCCCAGCAAGAGCCCTGAACCTGTGGCAGGAAGCAAGCGGAAGGGAGAGGTCAGGGGAATATGATCTTTGATCTCACTGAGCCGGGGAACGCGGGAGGGGGAGGGACACAAAACAAGTAAACAGAAGAGGCAAATACACTGTGGTCGGTGCTGAGACAGAAAAGCAAAGGCCTGTGGGGAAGTGTCCCCGACGTTCAAGTCTGCAGTGACGGCGACCTCAATACCTCGCCAAGCAGCCCAAGAACTCTGCAGACAAGAAATCCTTGAGTTCCCTCAAATGGGTTCCCAATCCCCGAAATAAAGCTGTTCCTTTCCCAAGACAGCTGGAGGCTCCCTGGTACCAACTCCCCTGTTCCCACTTCGGACCACTTTCTCCTCCAAGTTATTCCTTCACACAGTGAATACGGGACAGGGGCCGGTTCTGGGTCTGGGGTCCACGTCGCGGGTCCGCCCCCCTCGCCCTTCCGCCGTTTCCATAGCAACCAGCTCACCACTTCCCGCGCCCGGCTGGAGAAGTCGCCCTTGGGCCGGGGGCTCCGGCGGAACAGCTCGTCGCGGCTGCCATCGACCCCGCCGCCCACTGCCACTCCCAGCGCTTTGTTGCGCGTCTTCACGGTCTTGACGCTGGCCCGGAACAGCAGCGTGATATCCACCGCCATAGCGACCCACACCCCCGGTCCCCTTCCCGGCCGGCCCACGTCAGCAGCTTGCGACCGCGGCGTGCGCCCGGCCGCTGGAGGACCGTTCCGGCTCCGCACGCTTCCCCCGCCAACGCGACGCGAGAAGAAAGGTTCCGGCCTCCGCGGGATGACAGCGGCGAGAGGAGAAAGATTCCGGCCTCAGCCCCGTTCTCCTCCCGGCAAACCTCCGAGGGCTTGACCTCGGGTAGAGGTCCCGCTTGGGGCGCATGGGCCTGGGGAGCAAGAAAGTGGGGAAGCCAGCAGGCTGGCTTCCCCTCTTTTGGCTCTCCTACTTCCTAGGCACGGGGAGTGGGGTGCACTGGAGGCGACCCTTGACCTCCAGGACTCACCTTGTGAGGGACAGAAGCATGTGGACGTTGACCACCTGGGTGCAAGAAGGGCTAGGGTAGAGCAGGTGTGCGAGGCACAGAGCCGGAGGCCAAAGGCCTTTATTTCTCAGCCTACAGCCACCTGATCTGTAAAATTAAGGCAGCACCTTCCTCAGTGTTATTGTGACAATCGAAGGCGGTAATGCGAGTAAAGTGTTTTGGCGTTGCTTGGCTCGCAGTGGCCAATAAAAGTTACCGTTGTTAATAAGAACACTGTTGCCATTCTTGTTATTATTTATGATGGGGAAGAGTACAATAGAGGAGGTATCACGCAGAGAAGGCAGATTTGAAAGATGAGGCGGAACTGATCCCATGAAGACAAGGGCAGAAGAGTGCCCCCAGTTTCTGTTCATCCGTGATATACAGTTTTTAAATACCCTCTTAAGTTGTAGTAATTTAAATTAACCGCAAGTTAGCCAATGAGTTCTTTCTACATTTTGACTCAAGGCTCAGATTTAATTCACCTTCTCGTTGCTTTGTTTTTCTTTTTAAAGAGGCTGCACAACTAGAATGCGGTAAAACAGCAGTTGGCAAAGCGTGGTCAGCAAGATAAAAATTATCTTCGTGACACCAAGATGCTCCCTGCCTTTCATTATCATTCTCTCACAAGTTGTACACAGTTGAGTTTTCCAGAAGCCGTGTGACTTGTGACATTGCAAATACGCTGAATGCAGAACAGCTGTCTTCTATTAAGCCAGACTTTAAAGAGTTCTGCAAAAAATGTAAAACCGTGCCATTCGCACTGTTTGTTTCTGAAATGTATTTTTTTCACAAAAGGATCTCATTTATGTTAAGAAGTAATGGAATTATTTTTGTTTTTAAATGAATATTTTAGGTTTTGGTTTTAATTTCTAATGTGGTAAATATCAATAGATAAACATATAAACAAAGTTTGTTTAGGGTTCTCAATTTTTAAGAGTGTAAAGGAGTTCTGAGACCAAAAGTTTGTTTCCAATAAGTTTATGAGAAATAGATGTCATATGTACCTGAAAGGAGGAGGGAAAATGTTATTTAAAACCTAAACTGTAGCTACTTCAGCCTTCCTGTATGAGGAAAATAAATGTCCATACAGCTTTCTTACACCCACGTAGTAAGAGAAAATCAGAAAGAAATTACTAAACCTCTGCCAGTGACGCTGTATTGCATAAATGGCCCTTTGTTTTATGGAGACATTAATGAATCTTTGGCTATGCAAAGGCAAGCCTGGGGCAGAGTAGGAGGAAAGAGAATCAAATCGCTCTGCATAATAAAGTGAACGGGATTGAATTAGGGGAAAGCTGGGGAAACCAGAATCCTAGGGGGAGCCCAGGAAAGGAAAAAGTAGTTCCTTGGGAAAGGTTTTCAAGTGGGAGGAGGCTGAGCTACACCAGACCTTCAGTGAGTACTGCCTTGTATGAGTCCTGTGTTGGGGGCAGTTGGTTTTGGGGGTAAAAAGGTGGGGACAAAGGTCTAAGTTTTCTGTCTGCATCTGCAAGAGCAAAGAAGATTTTGGAGATGACACCCAAGTGAGCTCAAAACATCAGGCACTAAAACCACAAGTGACTACAAGTGCATAAAATTACTAGAAAAGTCGCAGAGATCTTGAGGAGGCTATTGGGCCGCCCACAGACCACAGGCTATGATATTTCATTGGGGTTTCTGTTTCTGGTGTTTTTGCTCTTTCAACTACAAAGAGCAAAGTGACTTCAGGTTGACAATACCTATTTGAAACTCCATTAAGCTGAGGGGCACAAGAACAGAATGTCATGGGAATGAACTACAAACTGTCCAGTTTGATGTAGTACATACACTATGTTTCATAAGTAATAATGTTTCATTCATTAGGCCATGAACTTTTCTCTTTAAAAAAACAAAAACAAAAAACCCAAAAAACCCAGTAAGACATATTGGAGTCCCTGAATGTAGCTCCCTATAACAGCACGCTCCATACAATCAGGATAGATGTACACATCATAGAATCTTTTGGGGACTCATAGAAGTCATTAAATGCAGCCTCCATCAAAAAGAGCGTATATTGCACGTCCAAATGCCCAACCCATGACAGACGTGCTATGTGACGTAGGAAAGACGTTATTAGGGTTTGAAGCCAACAGCCAAGAAAGAATTCTTGAGACGTCTTTGGTGCAAAAAGGTGATTGCATGGGGACAGGACCCGTGGGCAGAGAGAGTTGCTATGGGGTCATGAGGAGTGGCCCATTATATACTTTCAAGTTGGGAGGGGGTTAGGGATAGCGTAAGTCTCTCAGGAATTTTGGAAACAAGGTTTCCAGGACCTTGAGGGCGCTAGCTATTGTTGGGAAAAGGTCATTTATTACCATCTAATAAAACCTTAGTCATGAGACCCTTCAGATGTATATTGGTGGGCCATATGCTTGGGGGATGATTACCAACATGTATCTTGGGGGGGAGGTTAGAGATAAAGGAATTTTCCAAAGGAATTTTATGTGTTAAAGTAGACTTACAGGATCCTGGGGGGCGCAGGGGGGTGTGGTCAAGCTAGGATTGCCTTTTGCCCTTAGCAAAGTATTAACATTGAGGCAGTTGAGTCCCTAGAGGAATGTCACTCTGCCTGTTTCAAAGACTTGTCAATGGGCTGTAGGTAGTAAGGAAATTTAATAATTTTTCTTCTGCCTTTCTTTCCCACATCAAGACATACTGGAGTCCCTGAATGTAGCTTCCTATAACAGCACCCTCCATACAATCAGGATAGATGTACACATCATAGAATCTTTTGGGGACTCATAGAAGTCATTAAATGCAGCCTCTATCAAAAAGAGGGTATATTGCACGTCCAAATGCCCAACCCATGACAGATATGCTATGTATGAGAAATAGAATTCTGTTGTTAGCCACTGAGATTTTTGTCATTGTTACATCCTCTAGAGAGGTTGGTTTTATAGCCCCACTAAGTGAGGGAAGATGGTAAGCAGGCATTTGCTGTATGGAGTGTGAATTCTTGCAGGGTGGAATGGGCAGACCAGAGTTTTTGGGTCCGCAGGATCATGGACTTGCCACAATATATAGTAACTGGAGACCCTCTGTAGAAGTTTATTTTATTGTTCATCTCATATTCATGACCCCTCCCTAGGAGAGGATTATAGTTCCTGGACATATTGATGACTATCTTGGCCGGGTGATTCCTCTTCCCCATGAACAGTGACATGTGTTACAAATTTAGGAGATAACGTGTGGTTCACTGTGCTCTCTTTTCCCTCTGCCACGACAAGCCATAGTGTTCCAATGTTTCATGAGCCTAGGTCCCTGAGTAAAGATGACATGGAGCACAGCCAACCAAGGATGTGTGCTGGCAATGAGAAGTCAACCTCTGTTCTTATTGTCTATGGAGATTTGTGGTTTGTTGTTACTGCAGCATAAAGAGCCTATCCTGATTGATACACGCATTCTTCACCTACCTTCCTGACAATGTTATCTCCCAGTGGGTAAAATGTGGAGAGGAAGGACTACTAGATCACACCTAGATCTAATCAATAGTGTTAGACTAACAGAAACCCTGGAGGATTGGCCATGCCATGGTAGAATTCACACTGAAAGAGGAGAGGACTGAAGAACATATATTTTCAAATTAGGAAGTGGACTTAAAAAAGAAATTCACTGAAAAAATATTTTTTCTCATGGGCTCTAGAAGACCATGACTCTAGGGATGGGAATCTCAAAGAATAAACTTTTGTTCTTAAGAATGAACATAGCCATAGTAGTTAGGAAATTTAATAATTTTATTATTCTCCTTCTCCAGGGTGCTGGAGAAAGTGGAACCTTTGTATGGTGTTGATGGGAATATAAATTGGTGACACCACTTTGGAAAACAAAAAATTAAAAATAGAACTACCATAGGGGTGCCTGGGCAGCTCAGTCAGTTGAGTGTCCAACTCTTGGTTTCAGTTCAGGTCATGATCTCAGGGTCCTGGGATTGAGCCCTGGGTTAGACTCAGCATGGAGTCTGCTAGAGATTATTTCCCTCTCTCTCTCCCTCTGCTCCTCCCCCTGCTCGAGGCTCTCTCTCTCTCTTTCTAAAATAAATAAATAAAATCTTTTTTTAAAGGGGGGAGGCACCTGGGTGGCTCAGTTGGTTAAGCAGCTGCCTTCAGCTCAGGTCATGATCCGGGGTGCTGGGGTCAAGCCCCGCATCAGGCACCCTGCTCAGCAGGGAGTCTGCTTCTCCCTCTGCCTCTGCCCCTCCCCACCCCCCGCTCATGCTTTCTCTGTCTCTTTCTCTCTCTCTAATAAATAAAAAATCGATCCTTAAAATGTTAAGAAAAAAAAAAGAACTACCATATAATCCAGCAATCCCATTTCTGGGTATATATCCAAAAGAATTGAAATCAGGAGCTCAAAGAGATAGCTGTACTTCCACCTTCACTGCAGCATTATTTACAATAACCCAGCTTTGGAAGCAACCTAAATGTCCATTAACAGATGAATGGATCAAAAACTGTGGTATATATGTACAATGGAATAGTATTAATCCTTAAGCAAGAAGGAAAACCTGCAATATGCAAGAACATGGGTGAACCTGGAGGACATTATGTTATGTGAAATAAGCCATTTGCAGAAGGACAAATACTGCATGATTTCACTTATATGAGGTATCTAAAATAGTCAGAGAGAAGGAAAGAGTAGAATAGTGGTTGCCAGGGGCGGGGGGGCGGGTGGTCGGGGGAGGAATGAGGAGTTG